AGATTTACTGGGGACAATGCCATTATTACAAGAGACTGCATTCCCAAGCCTCTCTCTGTAAATATTGAATAAAAAGTAGATGGTGGGGACCTCTCCTTGTCTTATCCGTTCCTGGCAACCTGCCGTGGGGGTTGGTTCCTCTGCAGCCTGACACTGGGGCATTTCCAAGACGGATCTTCTCATTAATAATAATAATAATAATAATAATAATAATAATAATAATAATAAAAATTTTATTTATACCCTGCCCTCCCCAGCCAAGACTGGGCTCAGGGCAGCTAACACCAAATATAAAACAATTGATTGAAATACAGCTTAATAAACAAGATTAAAATACAACATAAAACATTAAAATGCAGCCTCAATTCAGTGGAAAATCAAATCAAAAACTTTTTGGGGGGATGAAAACGTCAAGTTTTTACCAAGGCTAACTATCCAGACTGGTCCTACATGGGCCAGAAAAAAGCCAGGGAAGTCCCCAAAAAGGAGTTCCAACACAGAAGGAGAAAGGAAAGAAGAAAGAAAGAGGGGGAGGGAATCAAATTGATTCCAAGCCAAAGGCCAGGCGGAACAACTCTGACTGAAACTCCAATTCCTGGGACCACCTAGGTCCAGCAGACTCATGCTCAGAGGCGCAGTCTTGCGCCCAACATTGAGAGGACCCAGCGCCGCACACTCACACTCCTGTGATGTCTCGTATGCAACACATGTAAATCGTCGGAAGGAGGCTGAGCCCAGATCAAGGCACCGTGTGGCTTCAATGACTGGCGGCTCCTCCTCTCTCACGCTCAGGAAGAGCCAGCCACTGATGTTCTACCATGCTCAGCCTCCTCCGCCCTCTCAACAAATATTGAGGGAGCTGAAGACTCCTTCACCGCACCTGTGATCATGCCTGAGCAGGCCTCAGTCTGACAGTGGCTTAAAAAAAATTCACAGGTCTGCAAGCAACCCATGGGGTACCTCGATATTCCCTGGGGAGGAACCCAATGGGCTCTGGCCAGAACTTAAAGAGTCCTGCATTAGCCAGGTATCAGAAGACTGGTGAGTGAAGAAAGCACTTTCAGAACAGCCGCCTGCTCCATCAGAAACACAACTTTTGAACAGATTTCTCCTTGGGTGGAAATCTACAGCACTGCTAGTGTTGTTTGTTTCTCACCACTCAAGATGCAGTGCCAAAGGGAGTGAGCCTGACATGAGCCACTCTGCACCTTCCTTCTCCTCCTCCTCAGGCTTATATATACCGCAGCAAACTGGCTCTTTGGCACAAGAAGAGGAGTGTGTATACACATACCAAGCAACAATCTTGCCTTCATTTTCCCCAAGTTACTCCTGCACTGAGTCAGAGACTGGGGTTATAGGAGGAAATAATCAAGGTGAGATGGATGCCCTAGCTTGCCATCGTACAGATGGCCATCAGTCTGTGATCTACTTGTGCATACAACAGCAGGCAGGGAGTCTCACTAAGCTCATGGACACAGCAACCCTTGCAGAAGTCTAAAATGTTCTCTCCGTCTATTCATGTGAGCAGGTGCTTGGGGGACAGCCAGCAGAACTCACAGGAGCAAGAAACATGAAGTATTAACAAGTTCTACTAGGCAAAGTGTATTAGTGTCTCTTGACGAAGATAGCACACACATTTTCATTCACAGGTATCCTAAGGGGTGAAGTCCCTTCTGGCTCTCATACTGGAAAAGTCAGACCCTAGTGAAAGCTGAAGCCCTGGGAAACACAAAGAGCCTGAGCTAATAAAAGCCAGAAGGCTTATACCCCCCTTGCAGCAACACTTCAGAATAGGCAAAGCACACTTGTTTGTTTTTGGCATTTAGCTATTGCCCTTTCGGCACAAGGACTCTCAGAGTAGCTTAAATAATCAGTATTAAAGCAGTCCCTGCTTTCAGGACAGCCATCTAAATAACATGACACACAAGGAAAAAGGAATGAGAGGGAGGAGGGGAAAGCAAGCACAAGCTCTTAAAGTTACAGCTGAATAACTGTTTGGCTCTCTTCGGAATTGGTTTACCCCTAACCTAAATTTGGATGTTTTTTAATGAAGTTAATTAAAATCTAGGATAACGTATTGGTCAACTATGAACTTTTTCTGAAAGCTACCATGCTTAAGAGCTGAATGAATGAGCTGATCCCCTGCTTATCACTCTCCCATTCAGTGGTGTGCGGTCAGTGGAATGGGGGGGGGTCTAGGCTAGTCCCCTACAGGGGCGAAGGAAGGAGAACTGCCCCCCCCCAGTGCGGGATGTCGGGGGCGGGGCAAACCGCCCAGCATGCATGTGTGCGCACCACTATGTACAGCACGTGCGCATGTCATTATGTACCGTGCATGCATGTGTGCCGTATAGACAGTGGTGGGATCCTCTGCTCATGGCTGCAGCAGCAGCAGCAGAAGGATCCCGCCACCATCCGTAAGGTGCTCAAGCGCCGTACAGATGGCGGCAGAGGGTGCAGCCACAAGCAGAGGATCCTCTGCATGTGGCTGCGGCGGTGCAGTGGTGGCGGCTTGCACCACCACACCCGTGGGGTGCCTTCTTGTCGCCCCCTAAGAGATGGCACCTGGGGAAGACCACCCCTCCTGCCCCTTCCTCCGCCACTGCTCCCCTAAATGTTCCCCTGGTGCCTTCTTCCCAAAGCCCACGAAGCTTCTGCTTGGCTTAAGGAAGAAGAAGAGAAGAAGAAGAAGAAGAGGAAGGAGGAGAAGAAGAAGAAGAAGAAGAAGAAGAAGAAGAGGAGGAGGAGGAGGAGGAGGAGGAGGAGGAGGAGGAGGAGGAAGAGGAGTTTGGATTTGATATGCTGCTTTATCACTACCCAAAGGAGTCTCAAAGTGGCTAACATTCTCCTTTCCCTTCCTCCCCCACAACAAACACTCTGTGAGGTGAGTGGGGCTGAGAGACTTCAGAGAAGTGTGACTGGCCCAAGGTCACCCAGCAGCTGCATGTGGAGGAGCAGAGACGTGAACCCAGTTCACCAGATTACGAGTCTACCACTCTTAACCACTACACCACACTGGAAGATTGATTCTCACACACATGACATCAGGACATCAAGATGTCATGCACGTGACGTCTCCCTGCCCATTGCTTTCGCAAGCTGTTGCCTCTGGCCCTAAATGTTCCCCTACGAAAAATTTCACCACACACTACACTGTTCCCATTGAAAACAATGGGACTTGAACAGCTTAATCTTGGTTGCCCTGCTTAATCTCGCTCTCCCACTCTCCTCCCCTGTAAATGCTGGACATGTAAAGCCTTGCTACAAAAGAAAAGAAAAGGGCGGAAACCTGACTATTATTGTTTTCAATACTCTTTAAGTTTAGCTTCGAAAATCTCTCACCCTTTTTTCACAGATCAGGAGGGTTCCCGTTGCGAGTGATATTCCCCTGCTCCCCAAAGAGGTGAATTTCCAACCATGAAAGCAGAGCTTTACTATGGAAATGAGGACAGGCTTGGAAAAGTGCACAAGGAGTCCAGGTACTGCTGTAATCTGTACTATACACATACTTAAAAATTTGTGCCGTGGAGGACACGCTTTTCATCATGCAGCAATTTTATAGTTTTATTGGTCTGACATTGCCATGAAGGAATTCAGAAATGGCAGCTTAAAATGAAAGAAAGGGTGGGGGGGAAATACCACTGAACGGCGTTACTTATATAAAATACTACTGCAATAGTTCTTTTATTAATTTTTAATGTGCAGCACCCTCTGTGACCTCTTTTATTCTTTCGCTGTCAACATGGCAGACTGGGAAAAAATTGAAGCGGGATAATAAAGCCTAGGAAGTCCTTAACCCCCAAGAGAGCGCACGTGGGTTTCCTCTTCCTCTCCTGTCCGTCTGTCTGCGTCTCAGTCTCTTTGCGCACACTTGACGCGCACAGAGATTAAACCGAATGGCTCTATTTTTGCCTCAAGCTAATGCCTTTCTTTACATTTCTATATTTACTTTAAATACTGCCTATTAAGCACAAAAGTGTATTTATCTGTGCAAGGCTATGGACCAATTTACTGCAGTAAACGATTTCCATACATTTATAAGTCAATTAAAACACACACACACACACACGACACACTCAGCAAGATAATCGCCACAGGACAGCCTTCCTGTTTTTGACACACAATAGAACTACATGAAAGAAAGCTGTTTCCTTTTGTCTGTCCGGCCTGATTCAGCTGCATTTTGCTTGAACAGTGGGGCACCATTATGCGATGAATATTTACCACTGTTTATATCTCCAAGGAGACTAATCTCCATACCACTACAGTCCAGAAGCTCACGGCATTTTCTCGGCAGGACCAGGTTCATGTTGTCACAGCAACTGAGGGCACGGGGTCAAACAGATTAATCCATCAGTGGAAATAAAGCATGGCACGGGTGCACCACAACTCCCCCCACGCCTCCGACAGAGGGTTTAAAATCATGTTTTGTGCAGGCACCCACTGTAGTGTGTGTGTGTGTGTGTGTGTGTGTGTGTGTGTGGCAAAGGAGTGAGGCAGAGAAAAAATCAAATTGGGGAGTGTGGTTTTACATCCCTGGGGGAGCCACTTATGGAAACATGGCGGGAAGGTGGATTTTGAGAGGGAGACAGATGCCAAGTGCAGCACATAAAGAATTCCCACGATGCATTGGGAATGCTTGTATTTTCCTCTGGTGGTGCCCTTTGATTAGCCTCTGTCTAACATGTGGCCTGACAACTGTGACAGAATGAAAAATTCCAGGAAAACTGTGGGTCACGAGAGAAAAGAGATTTCCCCCTTCCTCGGGGTTGACCCTATCACTGCCTTTCGTTGCAGTGTTTCACCATTAAGGAAAGGGCAGCCCAAGAGTGTTCACACTCAATCTGCTCCATCTGTCATGACTATTAGGGAACACACTGGCCGGCAAAAAAAGCGCGGAGAACAGAGCAGGCACAACGCCCCTAGCCGTGCTGCAAGTAGTGCCTGATCTTTCGCTGGCCCCAGAGGAGGCGTTGTCGTCGGGAAAGGGCAACACTTACCTGACACTCCGCCGTAGGTAGTCCTCTTCCCCAGCCCGACAGCTGGCCAAGGTGTGCCATCTGCTCTCAGTCCCATCAGCCCTGACACGGTGTTGGTGGCTGTAACACCATCTGCGCCACCTGAGGACAAATTTAGGGACAGACTTAATAAGCTGGAAAAGAGATGCTGGAAGTTATCCCACAGCGGTAGCGCAAGAAGACCATAAAGCCAAGTCAGCCTTTCTTTCTAGCCATAATCCTCCATCACCCAATTCGTTGTCCTCATATTTTTTTTTTTTTAATTACAAAGTTAGAATTTGTAGAGTGCATTTCAAATACAGTGATACCTCTGGTTGCGAACGGGATCCGTTCTGGAGGCCCGTTCGCAACATGAAAAGCCCACAACCTGAAGTGCCGTATCTGCGCAGGTGCACGGTGTGATTTGGCACTTGTGCGCATGCGCGAAGTGTGATTTAGCGCTTCTGCGCATGTGCGAGCAGCAGAACCAGGAAGTAAACCTTTCTGGTACTTCAGGGTCAACACGGGACACAACCTGAAAAAACCTAATATGAAGCAAATGTAACATGAGGTATGACTGTAACCCAAGGATGTCACACAGAGTAATCTTTACAGCAGCTACTCTTGTCATGGAGCAGGGATTGCTTGCAGCTCCTGGCTAGTGGCTGTGGTCAGAGAAGGGCTGTGGCTCACTGGTACAGCATATGCATGCAGAAAGTCCCAGGTCCATTCCCCAACATCTCCGGTTAGGACTGGGAAATAGCTCTGCCTGAAATTCTGCAGAGATGCCATCAGTCAGTGGAGAAATACTGAGCTAGATGGACCAAGAGTCTGACAAGGAAGGTTCATACAGTGGTGCCTCGCAAGACGGAAATAATCCGTTCCGCGAGTCTCTTCGTTTAGCGGTTTTTTCGTCTTGCGAAGCAACCCTATTAGCGGCTTAGCGGATTAGCACTATTAGCGGCTTAGCGGCTATTAAAGGCTTAGCGGCTAAAAGGCTATTAGCGGCTTAGCGGCTTAGAAAAAAGGGGGGGAGCGGGAAAAAAATCGCAAGACTCGCAAGACGTTTTCGTCTTGCGAAGCAAGCCCATAGGGAAAATCGTCTTGCGAAGCAACTCAAAAACGGAAAACCCTTTCGTCTAGCGGGTTTTTCGTCTTGCGAGGCATTCGTCTTGCGGGGCACCACTGTATGTTCCTATGTTAAGTGCACACTTGATAACAAACCCATGTTTATTTTGATGTAATGCTGGAAATAGTCCAAAAACCCAGAGGGATGCAGCCAGGGAACTCTCTGTGCTCTAGCCTTCTCAAGTGGCCTTTCAGAGGGTACACTATTGTCCAACTCCAATATAAATCACGCCCCCCCCTCCATGGAGAGATACCTACAAGGGGAATACATGTGAATTTAATAAAATCTTTCTATGAGCAAATGATGAGTGCTTATGAAGAGTTGCAATAGGATTAACCAAAATAGCATGGTTTTACCTAATTGTTTTGACTGGCCATTCACACAAGGAATGTGTGTTTACGCATAGACAATCTGATGCATTTAAAGATTATTTCATGTTTTCTGGATTTTATGCTGCAAATTAACGGCATGACTGAATCTTCATTCAATCAAATGTTAGCCTCCACCCCCAGTGGCCAATTGCATAGGAGATGGAGGGAGGCATGTTGGGTGAGTGTTGAGGAAAGCTATCCCACACCTCACAACATGTAGAACAATTTACAATTATATTCTCCATGCACAAACACAATGATATTATCCTGGCCCTGGCTAAGTTCCTCTTGGAAGAAATAAGAAACAGAAACCTACACGCTCTGGATAGTGAGGGCTTTGGAACCCTTTCCCCGTATTTCTGTTTTATTTTCCTTTTGAAGATATTTTTGTGGGTCTTTGGACTGAAATAAAGAATGTGTGTATATCCTCCTGCTGTCCCTTTGTTTAAACAGGATAACAAAACCAATAAGAGCTAGCCTTTTAAAGGACATAATATATTGCCTAAAAAACAATCTGATTATCAATTGCATCAAACAAGCAACGATTTACAATTTTGTATTTTCCTTGAATAAAACAACCATAAGCAAAGCAATCTGGATTTTTTGGGGGAGGGTCTTTTTTATGTCTCTCAAAAGATTTAGTGCATCAGTTTCTGCTCATGGGTTATATGCTAGCTGGGTCTTCATGAAGTGGAAGAATGGAGTACCCTGTTTCTTAGCTGCTCCATGCTGGCATCTGGACCATGTGATTCTCTGCCCTCTCCCTTTCTAAGGAGAGAAAAGAATTCTATGAGCCAGGAATACATGTGATCAGGTATCAGCATGGGGTGCTTGGTTTATATGTGAGGGCCTCTGCACAGCAGAAGAAAGCAGGTCCAGAATCAGGGATTGGCATGATTAGACACCTGCTGAACCCCACATCCCTGCACTATCAAGGTTCCCCCTCTAGATTTGCTCCTCTTCTTCCCCACCATCATCACCCGCTTGCTCACCATCTCTCCCCTTCTGGCCCAAATGGAGTAAAGCAAATGAACAGTGGTGGAAAATAAGGAGAAGGGGTTGCCAAAACTCTTTGTTTGTACTTTGCTTGGCAAATGAGAGTAGGCGGCAGAAATGGTGAGGATGAGGAGCAGCATCTAATGGTGCAGGAAGTCAACCTGGTGCCCTCAAGATATTCTGGACTACAACTTTCACCAGCCCCAGCTAGCATGGCCAAATAGTCAGTGAAGCTGTGGGTTTAGGGAGGGCGCCAAGTTGGAGAAAGTTGCAGTAAGGGATTGAGACTTGCACAGAGAATACGATGGACTGAGGGTGTCTTGCCCCCCTTCCACCTCAACCCCCCCCAAAAAAAGACAGCCCTGGAGAAGAAAAGATGACACGACCTCCTTCACCAGGTGAAGGCCCAGATAATGTATGAACCAGTGGCATCCCTTCACATAAGTTTCTCAGTGAGAAAAGAGGGCGAAAATGAAAATGGCAAATGTCTCGTGTCCCTTAGTAGATTTCTCTTGCTACAACGCCACTTACATGTCCTGATTAATCAAGCTGTGAGCTTATATGACAGGGAGATGCCAAAACATCTGAGCTTGTTACCTTCTTGGGAAGCCCTTGCAATGCTCACAATATCCGTGACATTTGGGGTCAGCTTGGCAAAGAAAGGAATCCGAACAGCTTGCCTCACCCAGCGACAGATGTTGCGCACCAGCTCTGGATCCTGTTCAAATAGGTCAGATAAATACAGTGCATAATTAAAAGTAATGTGATCAAAACTTTCCAACAATCTGCTGCACTGTGGCTTGCTGAAATGATACTTGAATGCTCTGCTTTGCCTCATTATCTTAAGCTGTATCTGCATTCCTTCTTCCCAGTCCAAGGCAGCAGGAAAAGAATGCCTGCCATATATCTGATACCTCAAAATAAACTTAAGAGGGCTGGCAGTATGATGTAGGATTGCTCAAGCTATCACTGTGGACAGCCATAAGTATCAGCTAGTTGAATGCCTCAAAACTATGTGGAAACAAGTGCATGGTCTAGGGCTGGGGGAGGGCATTCAAAAATGTGAGCCTCCACTTTGAAAAACCCCCACAAAACCTTATGACTCGTTTTAAGTGAATCTAGAACCTGTGTTGATCCTTGAAGTGGGTTGCAGTGGGTCGCAAACACAGATGTCCCTCCCCTGCCAATTATTCTCTCACACACAGCCACTTTGCAAGGGTCAAATAGTGCACTGAAAAGCACTTGGATATCTGGACTTATTTTTTAACATGATCGGATTTCATTTTATTAAAATGGCGTAATAAGTCGAGCAGCTTTAATTTAACCATATAAGATTGTTTGTACGTAGGATTTAGCTGTTTTGTACCGAGGAATTATGATGAGCTGCACATATATCACAGAAAGCTTAAATGCCACAAATAGGAAGAGAACGTCTTTACCATGGCTGCACCATGGGTGAGCAATTCCACAGCAATGCACAAGTCCAAGCAGAATTAAACCTTAACCGCAGGCAAAAACATCTCATACCAAACTGAAACAAAAAGTCAAAGGCATTTCGCCTACTCAGACTATTTATATTTTGATTATTCTGTAGCCCAGAGCCAGCCAACTGGTAGACCCTTGGAGGGGTATGGACCCAAACATGACGGTATCTATTTTTATCTGCTCTCCATGGGAGTTGCCGTTTTTATTCAAAATGTTTCCCCACTTGAAATATACTCGGAGTCGAGTGTGGATTTCATGCTCTTTATTCAGCTCATAGTAGTGAGGAGGAATGGAAGTTCCCCCAAAATGTCTGCTTTATATACATTATTTACACAATGGGCCCCACGTGATTGGCTAATTCTGGGATTCTCCTGTAGGCCAATCAGGTTGTAGATTCACTCCCCCCTGGAGTTGGATTGGGAGGCTTCTGCTGCATTTTGGATCCTATTGTTCTAGGACCAATCAAACTGCTGCAATTTGGATCCTATTCAACTCAGTACATAACACCACTGTTGCAATTTTAAGAAAACAAAGAAAAGTAACCAAGATGTATGAAATTCCACACTTGTGATTACACTTCAAAATTTTGTACGAACCTGTATGCAACCTGTACATCTAACTTCTGTAGGGCAGGGATCAGGGATCTGTGGCTCTCTAGGGGATGTTGGACTTTAGCTCTCATTAGCCTGGCAAATGGACAGGGATAGTGGGAGTTGCAGTCCACTAGCATCTGCAGGGCCATAGGTTTCCCATCCCTGCTGTAGGTAATGCTATTCCTGAGTACAGGTGATTTTGAACAGTGAGCCCCCTACTACTAAGCAGAAATTTGTTTTCAGGTCTGGTGCCAGCATCTGGAATCCTACCAGGGCCTAAATCCTGCCCTGGGCCTGCCACACAAGGCACTGCATGGCTACAAGCTGCCACCTTAAATTTCCCATAATGCAGCATTCTGTGGCACTGTGAGAAGTCTAAAATTGTAGTCACCTGCCACTACCACTAGTGAAGTACATTTCCACCCAGCCCCAACATAGAAGGGGTCCCATGAAGGGCACTTTCCTGCTGGACTGTGAAAGTTCAGGCTACTCTTGTTCATAATGTAATTTGTTCTGCGGTCAGTTTGTGAGGGGGGTGGGAAGACACTTCAGACCCAAGGACCCGGGTCTGGAGCATACAGTGGTCCTAGAGAACTATCCCGGAGGTAATCAACGCCATTTGAGCCACAGGAGTCTCCAATAAACTAAACAACATGAGTTGACAAAGACGTATTAAGCCTTCCCCCCATACCTCCCTCGCCCAAATAGCTCCTAAGCACAGTTATTTTGGAGAGGTCAAATGGTTTTTCTGAACACTCATCTCCTTTGAAGAACGGTTCAGGATGACAAAAAGCTAAATGGGGAAGAAGAAAAAAAATCAACTCGCTCTCTTTAAAGCTAGAAATAGAAATCTTCAAGCACTTACTGCCCTCGTGGGACAGCCATCTTTTAGAGGACAATCAGCTATCTGTTCTATTGATAATGGCTCTATAGTAGTAATGCTCTTTGATTCCAGAGCATGGAACAGTCTTTCACTTTATTACTCTGTAATAAGTTTCTCCCTCTTGTGACAGCTACTGATAATGCCTTTTGATACATTATGTTAAAATCGGCAACACCTATTTCGTGACTAATATGATCTTAATGAGTTAAAAAGTTCTGAGGAGAATGATAAATAATTTATCCCAAAACAAACCGTACGGGCGCACCAGTCGTGTGTCAGCTAGATCCTTTCCTATAATTATTTACATGTATTCCTTCCATGCTCTTTGCTGAAGTTAATTAAATTTGTCATAAAGAAAGAGGCCTCTGATGAAAGGGCGTATCGTCACAAAAAAACAGCCGATAACCAGATTTAGATATAGGCTGAATTTGCACATAAACACTAAGCCAAACCATAGCTTACTTAGTGTGAATGCGGAGGCTCTCAGAGCAGAAATTGCAGCCATTTTACTCCTTCTGGGTCCGTTTAGCTCAGTGTGGAGTGGCAGTTGAGCCAAGGTTTGCCTTGGTGTGTCTTCTGTTCGTGCTTAAACACTTTCCTCCTTAACTTTGGCTTTGGTGTCACAACGCCCTGAGCTAAAGGACGAGGGAAGAAAAAAAAAATAGGTGTGAGCTCTTCTCTGGGATCCAGCATGTTTGGGTAGTCTTGGTAAGCCATACTTTTGGCTTGCTGTGCTGTGCAAACCCGGCCACTGTGATCCTAATCTGATAAAACCATCATTTATCAGACCAAGAAAGACGTTTGTATTGAACAGATGTAACATTTTAAATGCGGTGGAAATAGCTCAAATGAGCATATCTGTTTTCAGGGTAGTCAACGTATGTCAAACCACTTCCATCACATTTAAATGTTATGTCTGCATCTTCAGCCTGAGGTAAGCATCACTATATTTAAACCACTGCTGGCTGACTTACAGTGCAGAGCGTTATCTTAAAATATTCTGATAATGGAGCATCCATAAATAATAATGTGTTCCATTGCTCGTCCTTGCATGTGTCTTGGGTTATTCCTCAACAATGCACCTTCTTCTTTATTGAATTAAGAGATTTCTTTGCTAAGGTTTCAATGGATAACAGGTGACCTGTGCTTTTGATTGTTGAGAACAGCCTGTGTGGTATCATTGTGAAGAGACATTGAAGTCAGAGTAGTGTGGTAGATACAGGGGGGACTGTAGAGTGCTGGGCTTGCATTGTAGTAGTAGTAGTAGTAGTAGTAAAATATAATAATAATAATAATAATAATAATAATAATAATAATAATAATTTATTCATAACCTGCCCAGCTGGCTGGGTTTCCCCAGCCACTCTGGGCGGCTTCCAATAGAATTGATGATGATGATGATGATGATGATGACAAAGCAGCGATAAAACATCAGACATTAAAAACTTCCCTAAACAGGGCTGACCTTACAGCAGCCTCTCTCAACCTGTGGGTCCCCAGATATTGTTGAACTACAACTCCCATCACCCCTAGCTAGCAAGGCCAGAGCTCAGGGATGATGGGAGTTGTAGTCCAACAACATCTGGGGACCCACAGGTTGAGAACCGCTGCCTTACAGGATTATTTTGAGGACAAAATGGGCACAATCCTATAATATACTGGATTTCTTGGAGGAACAGCGAGATGCAATTGCTAATAATAATAACAACAATAATTCAAGAGCACTGCTATCCATGGGGGCTCGTTTTCTATTTTACCCATTTCACAACAAAATGCTTGCTATGTGCAGTTATAATCCCCAGGAAATTTCTGGAAAAGGAAAGCGAGCGCTTCCCGCTTAGGAATAATAGTGGATATGAGCAGAGCTTAAAGAGCAGGATGTGTTATGCTTTTGATCCGCAGCTCCCGTTTAGTAAAACTTCAGGGGTATTTCCCTCCCCCCCCCGTTGTGTTTTGAACGCTTTAATAATTAATCGTAGGCATTCAAAGACACATGCCTTGTGCATCGGCAGGGCCTAAGGTGTATTTACATGAACGGCGCCCCTCCCAGACTTAGGTCTGCACATTTCTAGCTAATAAAAATGGTGATCTCCCCTGCACATGCAGCTTTCATGAAATATTCATGAGAGCTGCACCGGCGTTTCGAAAGCAGCTGCATCCTTGCGACTTCCATTGCTCGCTTATGAATATCCTGATGGGACCCACTTTAGAAGAGAGAGCACCTCCAGAAGGTACAAATCATACAGGCTTTCGTGATAATTTTCTCCAGCTTAGGCATTTTAACAATAATGGGGAGAATATCTGTATTATAAGCAAAGCAGCATGTGCCGTGCCAACATTATCTTTCTCTCTCTCCCGTCATCCTAACACACGGAAGCTTTGCGAAACAGAATCTGGAAGATGCAATATTGTTTATTTCCACCTGCCTAAAAGTGTCAGTGGTCTACCTGTTCAAAGGAGTCAGCGGCTCAAAGCTTTTTTATTATTATTTAAAGGATGTATTCCTAGGCCTCTCTGAAATTGCCAAAGTAGGTCTTTGGATTCAGGCATCCGTGTCCTAGAGACAGAGATGAATTAATTCATCCATTTCAGCTTCTCTCGGTTTTTTCATTTTTCCAATTTTAAGTTGAGTTTTCCACATTTCCCCATCAGTTTGTGAATTTTATTTAAAGACTTCTTGAAAATTCAACAGGATTGTACTGTGAATTTCTTTTTTTATATCCATGTTCATATGTTATTATGTTATTTTGCCTATCA